ACAGTTAGAATTCAGTGGTTTAAATAGGAATTTGGATAGTGTAATTTAATAGGTGCAATAAATGCCCAATGGAGGTAACAACAAACTCATAATTACACAAGTCCAAGAAGGATCTTTTAGAGAATATAAAAAGTAAACCTCGATATTATCAGTGTAGAGGTCAGGTCTATGTACATCTTCTTTCCGCCCCCGGTGGACCCTACCTTCGGGCGGGACATATCCGCTCGTTTGGCTCGATTTGTTGTAAAAATCCAACCTCAAATTTATGCCACAAAGTTGTTCCAATTGAGAAAAGGAGTGAGTTTGTAGCTAAAATAAAAAGTCAACTCTCGAATATCTTACGTTCATAAGTTTGTTGTGTTCAAATACTTAGCATTAGATTACAACAACCTTAATGAGCATTTATGACTAGATTACAGGTAATAGAATATAATATAACATAATATAATATAATATATAGGGAAAAGATCCAGAGACGAAAGATCGTGTGAGAATAAGAGTTAAGGTGAGAAGTGTAAGAAGGGATTTGGACCCTTGATCACTTTTAATTGGTGTTGATCTGATGGTTCACATTAAGTCCCAAAATAACCCATGAATTAGCTTAGAAGGGTATTTCTAATTGATCTTCAATTATGATTGATCCAAGGGTGGAGATACCTTCTTACCCTTCTCATAGCGAAATACAATCCCCTCCCAGAATATAAAAACAAAAAAAAGACCAAACACATAACTAAGATTAAATATTAATGCAGCCAAAAGAGCGTAAGATCTTTACCTGAACGAACGCTATATTCCATATCTTAATCAGTGTAGGATCATTCCAAATCACGAACGCTTCAGCATCATGACCTCCAATTCATTCAAGTGTGTTCCACTACAGGTTCCACCATTGCCTGAAATCAACCATCTCCCAAAAGTTGTCCTAATTGAATTTTGACAGGTATTTAGTCAAGATCATTGAACTTTTTGGCTCCACTTCTAAAGTTCTAGGTGTGGCAAGCATGAATTTGCTTAAAAAAACAAAGTATTTGGATCAGCAGTGCTTAACAAGGGGCTTAATTTTTCATTGCTAAGATCACAAAAAGGTTAGCATACTTAATCATATATTAGAATCAACACTCAATTCCGGTTCGAAAGAACTATATATAGGAAGTGAAAATAGAAGCACCATAATTGGAGCTCAGGGCCGGCCCTGGCCACATGCAGCCCGTGCGGTTGCACAGGGCATCAAAGCTTAAAGGGGAATCAAGTTGTCACATATTACTAGTTTTGGGTTTAATAATTTAGGAATTGGACAACTGAGTTTTAACTATAAAAACATGTCCAATGCTTAGTAGTGTTGAATACTGAATGCAAATCGTGAACCAGTTAACGCTAACATTCCAACAACTCAATCTAATTTCTATTGTTCTTCAAAGTTCGACCATTTCGATTTTCAAGGCATGGTATTCTCTTTCCATTTCGATTTCGATTTTCAAGGCATGGTATTCTCTTTCCAGCTAAGGGGCTTTTGTCATTTTGATAATGAGTCTTCCTCTTGCATATTGAAATATGAGAATTGAAATTTTCAATGCACATGAGCACATCACTGTATCAACATAGCTGGAGCACACTGCACAACATTAACAACATATTGTGATTTTGTCTTAATTATTGGGCATTTGTTCTTTACAACACACAGTAACATAGATTAAGAATTTTACAATTTATTATTGTTCTTTTGACTTTTGTTTACTTTGAGGTTTGACATTACCGCATTAGATTTAGGGGGAGTTTGATTGGTTTTTTATTAAGTTCTATATGGATAAAGTTGTCTGTATGAATTAATCTGTTTGTATAAGTTGGAAAGTTTTTGTTTGAGAGAGTTTTTCCGCAAATGTAAGGAGCGTTTTTTTAAGTTGGAAGGGACATGTTTGAAAAAAAACTTGGCTTTCTATATAAAGCTCTCCCTAAAAGTTAACTGGATAAGTTATTTTCTATATCATTAAGCCACTACGAAACAATCATGCGTAGTTGAGCAAATAAGTTGTTAGTTTCATTAAGCTTATTAAGTTGTTAATAGATAGACCCTTAGCCTTAATCATTACACCTATAACTTTTGAGTTTTACTTTTTGTTTACTATGACAGTAATTTGGATGTAATTTACTATTTTAGTTAAAAATTAATGATAATTTTCCTCGTCTGTTGAGTCCATATATTGAAATAAAGTTTCTATTTTGCTAATTTGAATTTGGAAAAAAGAWAATTGGAAAAGAAGGAAGCACGATCTTAATCCAAGATTTATTCTTTTATTATTCTATATTTTGTATTTAGGGTTTTGGTTTTTATAATTAATAAAAATCAACATGAGAATGAGACACTTAGTTTGGTTCTAAACTCTTTAAAAAATCACATGTTTCTTTGTTTCATTGGCTTAAAAAAAATAGGCTTAGGGCATCTTTTATTATTTTCGCACAAGGCATCAAAAATCTTAGGACCGGGGCCCTGTTGGAGCTCTATATATCATAAGGATACATATACATATATACAGGGTCAGGTTCAGGAGAAAACCGTAGAAAATTAAAAAAACTAAGGACCACCCTGATTGCGTTCATCCGGACGGTATGCACATGTGCATACAAGTAACTCATAAGCAGTTTTCCGGTATGCACATGTGCATAACATGCACACATGCATAAAAACCAATAAATAGATTCGTTTACTTGTATGCAACATGTGCATACATTACAGTCGAGACGAGTGGTTACCAGGGTATTCCTCATTTTTCATTTTCTCCAAAGTTTTCCCCTGAACCTTCCTTTATATATGTATATTCCATCTTTGATATCTTATACTAAATACAACAATTAACTTGAAGAGGACTCAAAAGTTTATGAATTTGACTTAGAACATTCAGAAGCCGGACCACCACTAGGGGCGCTCCCTCTAGGACCCCAAGGGGGCGTGAGCCCATTTCCCCAAGGGTTATGGTTAGCTTACATGAGTGTGTTCTACACACCTCCTAACCCATGAACCCATGAGGTAGCTTAACCATCAAGCCATGATAGAGAGAGAGAGAGGGGGTGTAATTAGCCAAAAAGATGCGATTTTTATCTTCAAGAACTTTGTAAAAAACACTCACCGGACACTCCAAGACTCTGTTTAGTGAACCCATCGTCGTCGAGCCGCTCAGAGAGAGCTTATTAGGGTTAGAGAAGTTGAAGTCCAAGAAACACGAACAAAATTGAAAAATGGTTGCAAAAGAAAACAGAAACCAGAAACTAGCAACTCCAGAATCTACCAAATGAAAAAATCTTAGAGTAAGTTATGTCTTTGGTCCCTGTGATTTGGTAGTTTTTACGAAAATGGTCCCTGAACTTCATTTATTACAGATTGGACTCGTCGTATTTCGTTTTATAACGAATTGAACGACCATCCAGTTCCTCCGTTAACCTTGAAGGCATTTTTGTCCTTTTTTTTTTGTCTCATTCGAGAGACCAATTTCTTAAAAATCACACAAACCATAGGAACCAAATCCGTAATTAAGTCTAATAAAAAATTATACCTTGATTTTATTAAATTAATTAATTATTATGATTTAATATATATTGATTATTATACTTTAAGTTTACTTTTAATAATATCATATATTTTCTTTCAAAAAAATATGTATTACATACGTATACACACGTGCGTACACACCATATATATACATAACGACTTAACGAGGTTCAATCTTTTAGGAGAAACCCACCTCCATCAATCATTAGATTAATTGATTTAACGGATATAATTAAATTGGCGATTACAACAATATTTTTTAAATTAAAAAACCCTCACCACCTCTAATTTATAAAAAACAAAAAAAAAAAACAAAAATCGAGCGACGTAAATTACACCACATTGATATTTTTTTCTTCATTTTTTCATGACTTTTCGGTTTCATTTATCTAGCATTTTTCCCTTAACACACTCTCTCTCTCTCTTCTCTCTCAATGCAAAATAAATGAAAAACCAGAAAACTACGGAAAAAACAAATGAAAAAATATATCAACATGGATGTCAAATTAATGAGAAACTACGAGGTAGACATGTATATAGGCCCAGCCAGGAAAGGTTCAACTCCAACCTGAAAAAACCCGGTAAAACTTACAAATATATGATTAAGCTAAGCTTGAAAAAGACCTGATACAACCCTTTTCAACCTCAAAGCCTGATTCAGTCCAACCTGGCCTGGATCTTTTTGGTTTGAAAGGCGTGGTCTTTATGCATCTCTGCTTAAACCTATTTGACAATAAAAAAGAAACCTTCATGGAGTAATTTGTATTTAAGAAACCTTTGGAAAAAAAAAGAATAGGATGGTATAGGTAAGTATTTAGGTTAAAGATGATGATCTATGTCCTTAACAAAGAAAAATCAGTTCGATTGTTAAGAAAAGGCTTATTCACTAAGCTTCCGGAGAACCTTTATACAGAAAGTCAAGTTTTTTTTCAAACATGCCCTTTTCTAATTTAAAAACATGTACATTCCATTGATGGGGAAAAACCTTTCCAAACAAAAAAATTCTTGGTTTATACAAAAAAATTGATCCATACAGAACTTAACGAAAAATCAACCAAACAGCTCGAACAGTTACTGGTCAAACCTAGTTTCGGTTATCAATGATTGATTATATTGCCACAAAAAATTGGTTCGAAAAGTTGTATCCATTTCCACAAAAACAGATGTTGAACAAATGTAACATGTAATTCAAGCCAAAAAACAGAAACATCTAAAATGTAGTGAACTGAAAATCACTTATCATTCCATTAACACGTAAAACATATGATAGAAAAGCCGGTAAAAAAGAGGCAAGTTTTTCGGTCTTGACACGTTTGTATTAATGAAAAAGAAGCATTTTGCATTTTATGAACTACAAACCATATTCACAATGAATGAAGCAGCAGCCAACTTCATGATGATGTTTGAAACTATGGTATCATATCCCTCTCTTAACTGCAAATTTGCAAGCCATAATACACAATTTGCGATTAAAGTAGCCATGAACGGAACATCTCTTGTGAATGCTTCCCTACCTACACTGTAGAAACCACCATTAAAACCATGAAGTCATGCTACTTGAACCCATTTTGGGATATCTTATGAGCACAACTTTGTGATCAAAAATTGATAACGAAATAAAACGGCATTTGGTCTAAATATTTTCTTAAAAGCAGCACAAGAACATAAGATATGACTGGACGGGACAAGATAGAACAAGATCGTACTGGCGAGAGTGATGTAGGCAAGTGAAAGAATTATTAGATTCAACTGGCTTTGAGTAATACCAAACAGACTCTTAGATCTATTTATAAACCATCGATATTTAAAACATTGACATACCGATATAAAATGGCAGAGACAAGATCAACTTCTATTTTTTCTTGGTGGAAGCTTTCTTCTTTGCCTCTCTCTTTTTAAATCCTGTCCCACTCTCCTGTCAATACAACAAATAGTGGAGAATGATAATTAGAAATATCACAGGTTACCGGTGTAAATATACTGAAACGGCTAGTTTAAATGAAGCTTGAATATTAGTCCCTCAGTCCCAAAATAAACGTCCACGTTTCTTCTATTTTAGTTTGCTCCAAAGTCGGTATCAACCTACTTTCCAATGTTTACCCTTAATTATGAGATGGAGAAATACATTACCTCTTCTATTATTAAGGGTAATATTGTCATTTAGTAAATAAATGGCATTATTTTGGGATGAGGGAGCGATTAGTAAATGATAACATTGCAGGGTTGAAAGAGTAGTCCCTTCTAATATGGTGAGATAATATATGTTGTTCACTCAAATATTTAAGAGCCAATTGCAGAAACAGAAGGGGCTGTTTGGTTGGTTTTCATTAAATCCTGTATAGATAAAGATGTATGTGTGGATTAATATGTCTATGTGGATTGAAAAGGTTTTTGTTTGGGATGGTTTTTTTATAAACAGAAAGAGCGTGTTTTTTAATTGGGAGGGACAGGTTTGCAAAAAACTTGTTTTTTTGCATAAAGCTCCCCCTAGAGGCTTACTGAATAAGCCACTTTCTATATCATTAAGCCACTATCATATCAAATAGTCATGTATAGCTGACCGAATAAGCTGCGAGTCCCATAAACTCATTAAGCTTCTAACAAACAAGCCCTCACCAAAGTACATCACATCAAGGCTATACTATTTAGCTGAAAAAGATTCACAAGCAGAATTTTTTTGACATGGAAGTTTCTTAATTGCATAACTAAACTAAGTGGAGGTTGAGAAATGAATACTGTCACAAGTACCTTTTTATAAAGAGTGTAAGCAGCTCGACCAGTGAGCTCTTGCCCAGTTTTACTGACATAAACCTGAAGTGAAAAGAAAAGCGATTTAGATCATACAACATACATAGATATGCAAGCTAGAAGTTTATAAAAAGATCCAAAAACATAAATTTCAAACTCCTTGAGACATTGATTTATAAACATTCAGTTATAAATCAGAAACAAGATCAGTCCCTAAAATTCCCATTGATCTGAAACAAAAAACTAAAAAAATTGAGGGGCATATATATATAGATAGATAGATAGATAGATATCAATAATGATTGCTTAAGTATAAAAAATTAAAAAAGCATGCACTGCTTTCTGCTACCCTTTGTCCCCTCCTGATGAACCTGATACAGTTGATAACCACTACAAACTATTTGAGATCAAATATCTTGTTTTCTGTAACAAGACAAAAATTATTTGAAAATTATAACAAATCTAGAACATTCGAACTTACTCTCCTCCTATCAGGGCCCATGAACCAATGCCCAGAAGGTTGACCATCTGCTTGAACCCTCCTTTTGCCAGCAACTTTTGGGATCCCTTTATCAGTATCAGACTTCGAATTCACTGGACCTTTTGGCATTTCTCGAGTATTTGATTTTCTTGAATTTTTCCTTGAGCTTGTCTCAGCTTTATTAGTTCTAGCAGCTTGTTTAGAGTTTTCACCATGACTAAATTGACCCCTAAAAACACAAGATATACAAAGAATTATAAAAAGTATTATATAATTGTCAGCCATATCATAGAATAACTTAGAGCCAGGCTTACATGTAATCAATGTTTGATGTACTGGGCTGCTCAGAATCTCTGTTTGCTGCATTCAAAGGAAAAAAGTTGGGCAAGCGAGTTCGAACTAGCTCTTGGACCCTCGGATCACCATGGAAGAAGTACCGATGAGCAGGGGGGATTGGGTCACCCAAATCTATAATGCTATTTGTAACACGACTTTTTCGGTCACTCTTTCCAGTAGCACCATGAGATTTACTTTTATCTTTCATGGACCTGAAATATTCCTCACAGACCTCATCCAAAGCTGGAGTTGGAATATGGAAGCTCTTCTCTGGTTGGAAATCTTCCCATAGATCTTTCCTGGTGAATGTACTGATTGGTTCATTTAATTTTCCCTGCTCACTTAAACCTACTCGTTGCACAAGATAAGGTTGCCGTCTATTCAGAGATGATTCTGATCCAGTACAAGTCCTATTTTTGGCACATTCACTAATAAAAGGATCATCAGTATCAGAGTCAGAATCAATCAACTGAAACCTTCTAAGAGGGCTGATGGTCAACTTTGGAAACACTGGATTATTGCAACTTGTGATTACAGACTCTGGAGCATCCAAGACATTTTGCTTTCTCTTTCCTGATTGTTTAGTCAAAACCCCATGTCCACTAAGTGGGAATTTTGAACTGGTACAGACTGAATGGTGTTGTGTTGAAAGACGTGCATCTGCAGTTAGCAATAAAGGTAGCATACATGAGAAGATCAATATATTGGAATTAAAAACAAGCAGGCATGATTGAATTATAAAAGGTTCTAATAATGAGCTTCCCAGGAAATCTGAAGTATAGCTATAAGGGGGCAGCATTATAACTAAGATATTTTCCAAAATCTTACAGCATAATCTACAAAAGAAAATTCTGATAGTTCAGTAAAAGCTGTGTTACTTTCAAAAAACACATTGGATACAAAAGATGTCATGAATTGAAAATTACTCACAGTGGCAGCCACATACCACAAACCAAAAGGCAAAAAATGTAATATCGAGACACTCAAACACATCTGACAAGTTATGTGTAACAAGTCCTTGACAATATAAGAAGAGCCCCAATAGAATAAATTCTCTCATTGGGGAGCTTTGTACTTCTCATATCATAGGGAACCAACCAATGTCATCCCTTTTATGATACAACAAATCAATGTGATGATCGGATCCTCTACGTGTTTGTGATATTTCTTGACAAAGTAGTCCAAATTGCTGCATTTCAGTGGTCAAGGATAATAACTTTTGCTAAATACAGTACAGGGCTACAAAGAATGACCATGGATTACATAAAGGTTCCTTGAGCTTAAAACAGCTATATTCAATTAACAGGGTCCCATTTTGATATTTCAAAATATGAGAATTTTATCAATAATGATTACACTTCCCTATTGGTATTAGAAGGACAGTAACAAATTGTATAATAGCATTGCCACATTCCATTGCAAGCTAGATTTCAGAAATGAGAACTTTTTCTTGGAACATATCAAAAACAAAAATAACCACAACATTTCGAATGGGTTTGTAGCCCAGGGGAACCAACCTCTTAAATACTCCAAGACTTGCTTCATTATCATAAAATCGACTAAAACTCTATTATACAGTATATGAAGTTTAGGTGATTTATAGTAATTCCTGTCTCATACCACCCAAAATATATCAAAACAAGTTCATTTCTATCTAGTGACTACTTTAGCAAGGAAGACATGGTAGCACATCCTCAAGAACAACTTACCAGTTTTTATTACGTAGAATAATTCCGGAACAGGTATCAAGATTAAATTATTATCATGACAGCAAAACTTTGCGAATTTGTTTCCATTCAGTACATTAAGATTTCAACATGATTATTGAAAGTAAAACAGGATTAAGATTCAGTCTAGATGGATTTTAGTTTCGATTCCAAACATCTGATTTCACTCAGGTTTAACGAAATGCAATCGAGTGCCAGATTCTATCCGTTATGCTATGAGCTTATGTAGAATCACAAATAACCTTTTTTCCTTGAATCAATAACTTATACCTACTTTCATAAACATGAACTTAAACTACAATAACTAACATAATGAGTAATACCTGTATGATTATCCTCCGGCGAAGAGAACTCCTCAATGTCGTCGTCATCCACAACAACAGCAGAATCCAAATTCGCCTTGCTCTTGACCGAAGCAGACGATACTACGGCATCCACGGTAGGAAGACCTCGCCGGAGGCGCTTCAGTTTCGGAGGCGAACTCTCATTCTCAGTATCCGAATCAACAACTGTTAGGGTATCAAAATCATTATCATCATCTTCGAGTATCTTCGCAGCTCCGGACGCAGACGGATCCTTATTAGCTTCACTTGCAGCTGCAACGTGGGGGTCAGAATCGAGCAGATCAAAATCAAGCCCTAAAGAGAACGAAGGTGGTTCGAAATCCGCCATTGACGACACAGATGCAACGATCAAGGGTTTGAATTATGAAGGGGAGAGAGGCTTGAAGGGATCCGTGTAGTGCAAGATTTTTGGTATTCGCAAAACAAGTCGCGCTCTTTTCGTGAAATCAATTCCCATGGCGCCACTCTTTGACGGTTTGAATTTAATATTTTTCTAATTTGGCCGTAAAATGTTCGAAAATAATTTGGATATTATCATTCAGAGTAAGGTGTGTTTTTTCACGGTTACTTAATGGTTTGATACAAAATGATTAAGAGACTTTTATGATATAATGTAAAATAAAATATAATTGTTTGCTTTTATGATATGGTACCATTTAACTATAAGAGACAAATATAAATATTTTTTTTTTCAAACGATGACACCATTTGACTAAAAAATAATAGTAACAAAATTTGAACTCGGGTTTAGGGTGAAAAAAGAGTTGCATACCAATTCTACCAAAAAAAAAAACTTGTTCTCATTATAGTTTTAAAAGTATATATAATGGCACACAAAAAATTAATACAGTTGCATTTTTTACCCTAATTTTTTTTGCCCTAGTACGTTTGAGCCACAGACAAAATCTAGACGATTTTTTTACAAACCACCGGTGACTGGCCCGATATTTGAGCCTTTTATGCTATAACAAAAGATATTAATTGAACTCTTGTATTATATCGTGGAATAAATATTCTGACAAGTTTTTTGAGAAACTTATGAGGTGTTTGGTTAAAGGTGTTAGACAGTAATCAACGAAAATGAAAATAAAAAAAATTGTTTGGTTTTATATAATAATAGACTCATTTTTCCAGAAGCCCAAACTTTGATTCCAGGTTAAACTGGGAAATAAAAATTCATTTTAATTTAAATTTTCATTCATTTAATTGAACCAAACATCCCTATATTTTTCCAATGAAATTAGGGTGTTCTTTATAGGTGATCATTTACGGGTTTGGACGGGTCACATGTCGGGTCTAACTTCTTTTTTTCGACCAACGGTTTCGTATAGCAAACCGAACGGGCTTGAAAACTTGTCCATACCCGTCTTATAAATGGGTCATGCTTGCCAACGGACCTAAGAAAATTACATTTAAAAAACTTATATAAAATGGTAAATTATGTAAAATCATTCAAAATACATAAAAAAATTCAATTACAAAAACATAAAATATATTTGGAAGGTGGTTGACATTCGGCAGAGAGTCTAAACTTTTTTTAATAAATATTAATTGTATAAAAAAATTTATTTGATTATATTCATGTACGAGGCCGGGAGGGCCACAATCATCACCACAACCACTGTCTGTCACCGTCACCACCACCACGACCATTGTCACCACAGTCATCACCACAATCAGTACCACCCTCACCACAACCATGGAGACTACTACCGGCCCCATACCACCACAACCATAGACGCTACCACCGCCTCCATACCACCACCACTATTATATGCAACTCATCAAATAAAACAGATTCAAATTTCTCTGACATATCCAATCCCAATTATTCGCAAACAAAATACATGGGTAAACTTGATTAAATTCCATCCCAGTTTCAGTTCATTTGACAGATTCGATTATGACAGTTCCGTTATATGAACCAAACGTAACCTTAGTTCGAGAAACCTGATATATATTGGTTGGACTGAATCCCGCTAAAGGAAATAAACAAAAACCATATGTACAACTTTAAAATTACAAAAGAAAAAAAGAAAGAAACTCACATAATTGGGATAAACCCAATACGGAGTCGGAGTAACCATATATGCATGGTTACTCCGGAATGCTGTGTAGAGCAGGCCTCCACGTCCGTTGGTGCGTTTCAAATCGATCACTAACGTTCATCAACTGAGCAAGCACCTGTTGCACCGTTAACCCCTGCACATCCGCTCTACCCAATAACTCCTCCAGTTGTTTCTTCGATATCTTAATCTTCACCGTCGTTGCTGGCGTTTTACCGGAAAAGCTGTCGCCGGAATAATCATCTCCTTTCTGACGGTGGCTGCCGGTGAGAAACTCAGTTTCCAGGTCTTCCGATTGAATCGCTGGCTGCTTTTTTAAACAATTTCCCATTTTTAATTTGGTAATCAAAATAGTAGCTGCTTGCTGAGTTTATATAGGGGTGCGCCGCCGGAGAAGGCCAACTTGGAACAAGACGCCACGTCGGATTAAACATGTGTCCTACGTGGCATTTGACCGTGAGGGAAATATTGAAATTATGAAATAGGGGTGTTAAACAAACGGCCCCAACTAACCTAATACATAAATACCTTTAAAAAAAATTAATGGGCCGTTTATCAAACGCTTACTAAATCACATTTCTTTTTCGAATGAACGTGTTAGTTCGTTTATTCGGTTAAGTTAAACGAAAGAACATGAACAAACATTTGTTCGTGTTCGTTCGAATCGTTTACAGCCCTAACCCAACCTGATGAATCGGGTATATTTCTATACTATGTATTTTATATGATTGTTAAGTTTTTGATTAATATACTTTAGATATTAGATTAACTTGTAATTAACTATATTCAAAATTATATTATAATTTCAACCGTAATTTTACTTTTTTATTTGCATGAACTTTCAATTTTTTTTAACCTGACCAATCCAATCCGTATATAATCCTACTTTGAAATCATACATCTGGTTCAACTTTTGGCCGGTTCGTATTAATGTGAAGACCCGAGTTAAGTTATGCGTGCTTGTTGGCGGTTTGGGTTCAGAGCCGGTTCAAGTCGTTTTCAAGGATGACAAGACCCATTTTGTGACGTTCTCTCTCAACTTGACTGCATGGGGATGTACGAACCGTTGGAAAAAGGAGACCAAAAATTAAAGCCTATGGGCCCGGCTTATTTTCTCATGAGCCGGGTTCGATCGTAATTATTAGTATAAGTTTTATAATATTTTTTATCATACATCATGTATTCAACACAACCATAATTTCATATATATATATATATATATATATATATTATGTATGCGTGTTTGAACGAAAACTCTAATGATTTAAGAAAACAAGAAAAAATCGTTAATATACAAAATCATATATGATTCAGATCTATGTTTATATGTGTCATATGTGTGTGTATATATATATAATTATATATATATATATATACGTACAAAATCATATGATATATATATATAACATACAAGTTCAAAAGTTGTTCGCCTCCATTTTTTGACGTTAATGTAAAATCACATGTGATTTTATACATTTATGACATTTTTTATATTTTCTTAAATAGTTAGTGTTCTCGCTTGAACTCTTTTTATGTATTTGTGTGTATATATGGTTTTATTCACAAATATCAGTACAAATCAATCTAATATGTTCATATAATCTAATTAATACTTGATTTGACGAATATTTTGATTGTCTGCTCATTTAAAGCGTAGGTCATTTTAAATAAATTCTGGTAATCTTTTGTAAATATCTAAATTATAATAAATAAAATCTCATTATTTTTATGAAAATATAATTGGTTTGTATGGTTTGTACTAATAGTTGGTTTGGTTAGTCGATGATGTTACGTCCATTTGTTGAAATATAAATTTAAAAGGTTACTCGTTGATAAGATATTAGGGTTGGTTTACGTAAGAAAATGTTGTTTTTATGAGATACATGAGACATGATTTTTATACTTGAAACTTCTCAACAAAATGTTCGAAAGTAAATAAAAAAAAAAAAAACCCGAATCTTCACAGCAAAAACACTGTGAAGGTTACCTTTACAGTGTTTTGTTGTGAAGTTTCAAGTGTAAAACCGTGTCTCACGAAAACAACCTTGTTTCACATGATCTCAAGTCTAAGATATTATATTGATTTTCTATTATCAATTACAGTAAAAAAGAATTCACGTGATACTAAATTACAAAATAATCATATACGTATATGCATGCTTATCTATACTATATTATAAAACATTTGACAAAAACTTTTAAAAACAAATTCTTATGAATAAAATACCGTTTATTGATGCATATTACTTGAAATTTAATATTATAAGTAGAATGTGCATGAGTACATCTTATTAAAGCTCTATGTTTAAATTCGTAAAAAAAATTTCACAAAACAAAAGCTTTCAAATAGTTAATTTGATACTAATATCAATTATTCTTTTCAAAATTTTATAATATCTTAAAATTTACATTTCATTCAAAAATAAAAACATTTTTCCCCTCAAAACCACATAAACGCATTATAACATCGATAGAGCCAAAATATAAAATGAAACATTAAAACCAAAATGTATCTCACTACATTATGCGAGTATCATTCTAGTAAAAGTATAATAAACAACACCATTATGGCCTATCAATCACCATATTGTGAGATTTGTGGGCTACAAATGTGATGAATTAACAATCATTTATTTCACTTTTTAATCATTAATATTATTAATTATCCATCCATATGTTTGGTATGGACCATATATATATGTTTGCCTTTGGACTCATCTACAAGCATGCATAAGTTGACTCATTGCATGGACACCAATCAATGTGAACTATACTTGAATAAAAAGGGTTCAAGATAAGAAACTTGTCTAGGGCAATTTGGGAATTTCTGATTGGATCGAGATCAGTTCGGCCGACACAGAAAGTAGGTCGAAACCATCAATCTTTTTCCACATCCAACTTGCAACCCTGTTGTCGAGTTGAGATCTGATTTATTGAGGAGGATATGATGTTTGTATTTTTATGTTTGTTTTAGGAAATTAAAGGGTAAGCTGGTAATTACTGTTTTAATATGTGATACAGAAGGGATATTATATGTATACAGATAAAAATTCGCACACATGACAACCACATGTTTGATTATTATAATGATTAACAGGTTTTATTTTGAAAATAAAACAATATGTATGTTTAAACGTGTATGTATAATGCAATGTTTGAAATAATACATGTTTTCTAATTTATAAAAAAAAGTCAAATAAACATGAAAAACACCATACACAATACTCTATTATTCAAACAAATGAGCATGGCTTGATATTAAATATACAAGTCTACACACACATATATATAGAGAGAGAGGGGGAGGGGTTCAAACGAGAACGCATTCATTTTACAAGAACGCAAGAACACCTTTTTACTATAGACAATCACATATGATACATATGTGATACTCAATTAGAGACACGGATGATTTTCGGCGCGATCTTGGTTGCGGGCTAAGTCGCCCTTACACTACTAAGCCCCCTCACATGTATTATCACATGTGATAAGGATGTTGTTGATATGATACTATACTCTATCAAGACCATCACATGTGATGCTAAATCATAGACGCAGACAACCTTTGGCGCGACCTAAGTCGTAGAAGACATCTTTCGCATACTACCAGGTCCCCTCACGCGTATTATCACATGTGATAAGCGTGTTTTGTGCTCTCGTTTGAACCTCCACACACACACACACACACACATATATATATATATATATATATATGTTAGCTTTATTCTGAAGCTAATGATAACCTTGAAAAAGTTTTATTAAGCAATCGGGGCCTAGAAGATGAACTGAAGAAGTTTCTGCGCCAAAACGTCTAAAGTCTAGAAGACTAGCCTCTGTGCTAAAGAGTCACGGAGACCAGAGCCTCTTTCAAAGACTACAGAGCTTCTGTGGTAACCAGAGCCTCTGCAGGGCTCTGTAAGGACCAGAGTTCTTGGACTCTAAGTCCCTTGGACCAGAGCCCCTCTGTGAAGACCAGAGCTTCTGTGAGTGCTCACAGAGCCTCTGGTGATGCTAACAGAGCCTCTGTTGTTTTTGACAAGAGACTCTCTGGCTGTGCCGTCCTCTGTTATCTTTTAGATGACTATCTTCAGATTCCTTATTCTGGATAAGGCTATTCCTGTTCTGGATAGCGTCAAACTTATCCAGGTTTCGTGGGTTACTGCCTATAAATAGAGTGTTTCAGATAGAGAAATAAAAATAAGAGCATCAAGAGAATTCTCTTTGTAATAGATAGATTCAAAATCATATGAGAGTCGATTAGGGTTTCTTGAGAGTTTGTAATTTCTATTTTCAATAAAAGAAAAGCAGCCGCCGTTTCTCTGTTTAATCTTCTTGTTTACTTTCTCTTACAAACTTCTAGTGTAAATCGTTCTACTGTCAGATCTGGGATATAACAATATATATGTATATATATATAGATGGTTGGATTCTCGTAAGAAGATATTTTATAGTGAGAAGCGTAAGAAGATATCTTCATTCTTTAATCAATTCGAATTGAATGTCAACACTAATATGAAGTGCATCGAGATGCATGAGATCAATTGTCTTCTAAAGCGCAAATTCATGGGGGTGTATGAGATTAAAAGTGAGTAAGGCTTCAGATCTCTTCATACACTTCTCACCATAATTCTCTTTTCACACAATCCTTCATCTAATATATACACAGATGGGGAAGGGTTCAAACAAAAACGGTATCATTTTATGAGAAAACGGTAACATACGAAACATACAACCATCACATGTTATATACATGATGGACATGAGTGACTCTGCCTGCAACCTATGTCAAGGACAAAGTCACACACACAATATTTCCTCTCTATATCGTCTCATATTTGATGATTACCTCGTTTTAGGTGTTCCTGCGTAATAATAGAATGGTATCATTTTCTTTTGAACTATACAAATCATGTAAATGTTACAAACCGGTATTAACCATCCATCTAGCCTGATGAATATTTGGTTTTATGGTATATCTCGGTCATTTTCCATAAAATATCATGATCAAATGAACGAATTTAGATCACCTTCCATAAATATATCGGGTTTTTTTTATTATAGAAGGTTTGTATATTTACATGGTTGTTATTTGAGACAGCACATCTACACATATATATATGTGTGTGTGTGTTACAAATAAAATACGAATCAATCTCAATCGTGTATCTAGTCTAACAAATATTTGGTTTCATAAATATATCGATTCTTTCTTAGTGTTGATTCATAATGAATGAACTCAAATAATCTTTCAAAATCATAATAAACGAACATTCATCATTTACATAAATATTTAATTGATTGGTTTGTATTTGATTTGTCTTATATATATATATATATATATATAGAGAGAGAGAGAGAGAGAGAGAGAGGATCACGTGAGACCATTTTTTTACACTTAAAATTTCACAGCTAAACGTTGTGAAGGTAACCTTTACATTGTTTTTTGCTGTGAAGGTTCAGTTTTTTTACCACCACAACATTTTGCTGTAAAGTTTCATCAAATGTAAAAAAGTGGTCTCACGAAAACAAACTAGTCTCATGTGAACCAAACCCTCCTCTCCCCTCCCCCCCCCCCCTATATATATATATATATATATATATATACACACATACACACTAGAAGGGTTTTCACGCAATGCAACGAAATAAATCTCAATTTTAATGTTTAGTTTTTATTATTTGTCTCTATCAATATAATACAATTTTATGTGGTTCTGAGAAAGCGATAATATTTTTATTTTTGAATGAAATATAAATTTGAATATAGCATAAAAAATCTTGAAAAAATAAAAACGATATTAGTATCAAATTAACTATTTAATAGTTCTCATTTTTTTTGTTGTAACTTATTTAATTCAAATTTTCATTATAATTTCATCTAGGTCTAATAACAAAGTAATTTATTTTAGGTTTAATAATATAATTTTTATTAAAGATAATAATTAAACATTCTATTGGAAACTCAATGATTATCTTAATTATATTTTAGATTTTATATATCTAAAATAAATGTTTATTATATATTTAATTATGTTTATCTGCAGTTAGTTACACGAAATTAAATTGGAGCTTTAATAAGTTGTACTTATACAAAATCACTTGTAATCTTGAATTTTAAGTATCATGCATCAATAAACAACACTTCATGCATAAAATTAGTTTTTAAAAGTTTTTATCAAATGCTTTATAATATAGTATATATATATATATATATATATATATATATATATATATATTTCTTATTCAAAAGAAAGAATGGACTCAAATTGGTAGGTGGAGAATGGAATAATGTACATTAAATGTTTGAACAAAAT